GGGGGTACCGGGTAGAGAGGCAGAGGCAGAGGCAGAGGTAGAGGTAGAGGTAGAGGTAGAGAGAGGTAGAGGTAGAAGTAGAGGTAGAGAGAGGTAGAGAGAGGTAGAGGTAGAAGTAAAAGTAGAGGTAGAGGTAGAGGTAGAGGTAGAGGTAGAGGTAGAGGTAGAAGAGTAGAGGTAGAGGTAGAGGTAGAGGTAGAGGCAGAAGTAGAAGTAGAAGTAGAGGCAGAAGTAGAAGTAGAAGTAGAAGTAGAAGTAGAAGTCAAACTAGGAGCAATTATTGATTGTTCATAGCAGTGCGGAGGAAGGGAGGGAAGCAGCAGGAGGATGTGGATGTGGATACGGAGGAGGGTGGCGACGACGACAATAAGCAGTACAAGCCAGCCCGCCCGCCCGCCAGCCAGCCCGCCAGGTTGAGCGTGGGGCCAATTCTGTCGGGCAGCGATGCGACCAGAATTCCAGATATAGACCGCCCAGGATCGTCGATAGGTGAAATGGCTTGTGAGGGAACAAACAAATCCGATGACTCAACTCGACCCGACCCGACTTGACACGATGGGACCGGTGCCAGTACAGCAGAGGCAGAGCAAAAAAGCTTTTGAAGAGGATTTACTCGCTTACTGGCCTGATGCGTTGGCACTCAACAGGCAAACACCAACAAGCAAAAGAAAAAAAACAACGAAAAACATCCGTCATCGCAAATCGCAAACGTGTCAACGTCCCCGACCGAGAGAGAGAGCTGCATTATCGTGCATCCCACGTGACGGGTGAAGGATAATTTTTTCTCGTAATCACCACTCCCGAAGAGCTGTTCAGCATCAACAAAGATCCTGCATCGGCACCAGCCTCTCGGCCAAGAATCCCAACGACGAATTCCGCTGCGAAGACTTGGCGACAGAGTGCTCCGGAGCATGAAATTTGGCGAAGGAAGAGATATCGTCGGATGCGGCTGCTATGCCGCTTAACTGGATCCCAGAATCCCTCATCTCGTTCCGTATCACGTTTCTCGCTTGCGGAGCGCTTAAATCGGCAAATCACAGTCACATGTCTTACCCAACAGGCGCCGCTCGATGAGTGGCTGTACAAAGGCTAAAGCAACGTCGATTTTCCATCAGTGTAACAGTGTAAACAGCGTACTGGCAATCAACGCCTGATCATTCCCCTTCTTACATTCCTGTTAACATCTACCTTAAGCGCTCTCTGTCGTCAATTGCTGCTTTTGTGGCTTTTCCTGTCGTTTTCATTTTCCGCTCTCCCTTTTTTTTTCTTTTCTTTTTTTCCGTTTGTAACGGAAAATCCACGTGACTGCAAGACCAAAGCCAAGACGGGGGATCTGGACCCCTCTTGGCGGGACCAAGGTGCCGCCAGCCAGCAGTCTGGTTCAATCCCCCATCGGCCGCCCACAATGTCCCTCCTCGAACGTCATCTCGAGCAAATCTCTCTCTCCGCAGAATCTATCGCAGGGCTCCGGTCAGTTGCCATTCGATTATATTTCTTTATATTTGTATTCGTTGACACTCGCCCTTACTCACCCCGCCATCCAGCTTCCCTCCCCCCAAGATCTTCACCAATGCCCTCCTCTCAGCCCCCGACATCACCTCTTTAATCCGAGACACCGAACCTCACGAGCGCGCGCTCTTCTCCGTGCCTTCCCAGCCGCCGCACATCACGTCCAGCACGCCCTACCAGGACCCTGCGACCTCCACTGCCTCCCGCCGGCAGACCGTGTTCAATGTCACCCAAGGCGAAGTCACAGCCGGCACAGCCACGGGCTCCCGCGCTCCCCGTCGAAACACGGCTGTAGCTGCCGTCCTTGGAGCCGAGCTGCACAACCAGGTTCGCAAGACAGAGGGCAAAGGGGAGATTGACGTCGAGGTTCTGCTGAGAGGAGCAGAGAAGCTGAATAACGTGTACAGCGTTCCTGGTGTCCCGGGCAGGATCGAGGATCTGAGGAGACGGTACGAGGAGGCTGTCCGGGAGCTGAATCGCTACGAGGAGAGGGTGAAAAGGCAGACGAGGGAGCTAGAGAGGATCAATCGCGGGGATACGCCGGGCGACGAGAATGAGGATGGGGACGAGGAGGATGACGGGGACTACGAGGGAAGTGGGGAGAATGAGTACGAAGTGGAGGTTACGGAAGAGGAATTGATGGCTGAGGAAGAGGAAATCAGGGAGCTGGAGCGGAAGAAGAAGGAGCTTGAGGAGAGGGTCAGTGGGATGGAAAGAGATCTTGGGGGCTTGTCGAGATGAGGACCTTGCTCGTGACTGAGATGGCCTCGTTGAGATTGCAGTTACTCTTGGGTCTGGAGCCAGCTATGTCTCTAGACGGTTTGAAAGCTTGGAGGAGTCTGAATCTGTCGGGTGGAAACCAGCTGCCGATTGGCTTTTGCTACTGATGAGTGTTTTACCACATCGGAATTTCATCTTCCTGGTGTTATCTCTCCAAAATACTGCTTCTTGCAACGTTCTTTTTCTGCTCTGTGCTTGCTTGCCTTGTGCCTTAACAGATAGTGGATGTATTTGTAATACGCTGAGATGATTAGTCGACAAATGTTTTTGATAAGTTGGTCATTGCTTGATGTTTTTTATTAGGTGGTAAGACAGAACAAGCAGAGATGAATACGCATAATATTTTGTATATACATTTTCGTTCTTTCCGCATCGCTAAATATAAGCGAACGTGCTATACTTTTTTTTCCCCCCCAAAAAAGTACAAAAAAAGGCAAAAACTTATATTACTGCCGCTGATCCGTAGATCTTGTTGATGTGCCCGGAGAATCCAATTGCGCCCCTTGTTACCAGGAGGAGGATATCTACCGCATGCTTCCGATCATTACTCTTCGATCGTCACCCGGCGAAGGGTGCGCCCTGCTCGGCCTTGAATTTGTAAACAGGCTGGTAGTGAGAACACTCCCCAAGCAAGTCCCCTATACAAGGCCCGCAATTTTTACACTCCCGCGAATATGGCTTGGATGTTACTCCCAGATTAGGCTATCCGGCCCATCTACCACGATCTCAGTATGTTTTGATGAAGACACGGACGCGTCTGAGTTATATAACACAACGCGTGAATTTCGGGAATGGGGTTTGTTTGTGCGAGCCGAAGCGAGGCCGGGCTAGGTCCATCTCTACGGAGTAGGTGCTGCCGCCGATGAGTTGGTTGGTTAGTGCTCCGCGCTTTCATTCTCAACTTGGCCGACTTTGCTCGCAGCTTGCGGTACAGAAGGTTACAAATCACCATCGGTCAGTCCTCATATGAGCAGGTGGAGGATGTCTATTTTCAGCTTGCTAACACTCTCTACAGGCTGACAGAAACACCCTTCTTGCTAGTGCTATGGACTCAGACTTGGTTGGATCCTTGGGCTCCCCTCCTGCCAGCCCAAAGGCTCTCGCTCGCAATACTCATGCTCACGATGATGACGGTTCAGACTACGCGGGCGACGAAGACGACGTGGGTGAAGATGAGTATGACCTCGAGGAGTTATACGTTCTGGAGCCTGCCACCGCAGTGAGACCAGATGGGAAGAGATACGTCAGTCGAGAATCGCCCTCCCGCCTCCAGGGCGAGAAGAAGCTGAATTTACTCCTAGGCTCAATACACTGGTGCAAAAAAGGAGGCTGGCTCGCTCGCCATTCCTGACCCTACCTTGATTAGGAATCCTGCTTTGCCCGGCACCTCTGATCCCTCGATGTACAAGTTCACCATCTACCTCGACAAGGTGGATCCAGACGACGAGAACAAGCGCATCCCAGCTAAGACCGCATCTATCACCCGCAACGACCTCGATGAGCACCTAGCACCCTCCTGGGAATCCTCACACACTTTGATGGCCTTCAACCAATGGCGCAACTAGCTCATTGTCCGCTACCTCGGAAACAAGCGCAAGACGCGCGAACACTGGCTCATCAGCGAACAGCAGCTCGCCACCTCACTGTTGAGAGCGCAACTGGAGCGAACCGGCAAGTACAAGCCCAAGTGGAACCGCACCGCCAACGAGTTTAACAAGCGCCTGAACCTGGCCGGCACCATCCAGCTGAGAGGGGAGCCCCTGATCTCCCAGCGGATCCAGAAGGACCCCTGCCTGCAAGAGAATCGGCTGGCGCCTTTCCGCACGGCGCTGACCATCCAGGCTAAGATGACGCACCAGTGGCCTGCATCGCAAAAGATCCTCCGTGACGCCGAAGAGGCGCAGAGGGTCGCGGACGAGACGGCGGGGAACTACCTCATGGCTTCGGATGACGAGCGCTATGTTGCGGACTCGACGGACGAGAAGGCCATCCCGGACCCGGCTCCAGGTGGTCCTAAGCTGAGTGACCGTCTTCGTCGCACGACGATACGAGTCGCTGCTCGGGTTAGCGACAAGGATGAAGATGGTAAGGAAAAGCGTGAAGATGAAGAGGACGAGGATGGAGATGGATATGAAGAACCGCCAAGAAAAAAGCCGAAGAAAGCCGTGAAGAAGAAGCGTGCGCCGCCGCAGAAGAAGAAGCGCGCTTTAGCTAGAAAGGATCGAGAGAGAAACGATCGAGCTATAGACTCTGGAGGTGATAATGACGATGACTCGGATCTCTCTTGATCAGCTTTTTAAGAAAGAAGCGTAATAATAATATAGCATAGCATGCGCGAAGATTCTTTTTGTGTGATTTGAGTGAAACTCTGTGCTTATATTCCTTACTTAAATGGAAGACAATCCAACAACTTTGATCATTAAATTCTTCTTCTTCCTTCTTTTTACATCTATATATATATCCATATCCATCCCCTTCATTCATCCATTCATCCATTCTAACCCCCCCCATCTCGTAACTACCCCTCTCCCACCCCCTTCAACTCAAATCTTTCTCATCGTCCAACCTTCCACTTTTCCACCTTTCCACTTCTCCCTCTTCTCCTTCTTCTCCCTCTTCTTCTCCCTCTTTCTCCCTTCCCTGAGTCCAGCTTCAAAGAAAAAAAGAACGATTGAACCATCGTCAGCCAATTAAAGCTCCAAGATAAACTAAACCACTTCCTCAACTCACTCACTCCCAACTATCAACTGCCACACCTACCGCAACCACCGCATCAAATCCAAACCCGACTCTCAACCAACCATCCTCCTACTCTCTCCATATAGCACTGTAGCCACATCCAACATCCAACATCCAAGCTTCAACCCAACCCAACTAAAATCAAACCTCCGTCTCAGCGCATTCCCCAAGCATACCTAATCCAACACACACAACCGCACCCCCTATCCCTATCCCTATCCCAACTCTATTCCCATCCTCGACCGACTCAATTCCAACCTGCTTCTAATCTTGAAACCAGACTGCGAAGGTGTGAAAGCTGGTTTACGCTTACGCTCTGTGTATGTTTACGTTGTGCTTTTAGGCGATGATTAGTCATACTATACCGGTACTATACATACCATGCCATACTATACCTATCATGTTATATCATACCATACCAATAAATTAATGCTGAATTCCGCCTCTTGAAGAAATTCCCTTTTTTTTTTTTTTTTTTTTTTTTCTTCGCGTGGTTTTTCCAAGCTCGCGGACTTGGACTTGGACTTGGATCTGGATCTGGATCGGATCAGATCTGCATCTGCATCTGGATATTTTCCATCAGCGCGATCCGTTCGCTGAGCGCGTAGGCGTGAGAAGCTTAGATGTATGTATGTATGTATGTGTATTTGATTGGTGGAGAGCTTGGAGAATAGGTCAGGAACAGGTGAGAGGTTTTAGAGGGATCTGAGTTTTTTGTTTTTACTTTACTGTGTTGATTGAGTG